AATGTAGTTGTTAACAAAACAGTAGAAAATATGGATTAATGGGGAGAGACTTGAGAATATCATTTGCTCTTTGGAGCTAGTCCCTAAAATTCATCAAATGAACAATAAGATAATGTTCTGAGGACCACTAACTACTTTGGGTGTTGGATGTCCCAAGGAAGCTATTGCAGCAGTACTAAGTATTGGGCTAAGGAGAAACAGCTATTGGCTGTATCAATACAATATAGTGAGTAGAAACAGACATCAGCCATCCAGTTGTGCTCAAACCAAGTTGAGGGCCAGTGCATTGCTTAAGGTTTTGGATGATTTTAAGATTAAGGATTTTGATATGAGTGATGTGCTGATAAAACAGAGTGTTAATTTAAATCTGTAATAGAGGAACTGGTGTTTTCCCAGAGAGGCTTATTTCATTGCAGTTTTTTGTTGGTATCTGATATGGCTATTAAGTATTCTTTTCTGTCACTTCAGATGTGATTTATGGCATCATGACTGACTTTCTCTCCCATTGGAAGAATTGCGATACCAACTTTAAACACTTGTTATTTTCTCCCTTTTCAAAGTAGAGCAGACATAACAGGATTTTTTTGTTTCTGTTTTGATCCAATAATAAAAAAAAATCACCTGCAAAAAAATCCCTAACAAACAGATGAAATGTTAGACAAACCCTCATAGTCAGTACCTGACTAACCTTTTGAGTATTCCTTACCAGAACAGCTTTGTTAAAAGGGAGAGAGCAAATAGCTCAGCTTAAATAAACCCGGAGTTTATATTGCTGGAATGCTATTTTTAATATCTACTGAAATGGAAAAATATTTATTGAAATGTAAATATGCTTGGGTGGCTTCACATAAAAATATTGTATGATGTTGATGAATTTTGAAAGGGTTATTATAAATGTTATTGTGATTTCCTGTAGAACATATGCTGTGCCTATTACTTTTTTTTTAATTAACCTTTTATTTAGACTAGGACTTGTTTTAAAATCCACCCCCTTCCACTCACCAAAAAACCATCCCAAGGCAACCACCAAACACACACACCCCAAAACAAAATACCCACATCCTTGTGGAAAGAGTTCCAATAATGGACCACAACTATTTGGTAAGTTGTTCCTGTGACTAACTTGTGCCTTTGTTTACAAAAAAAAGTACTGTAATACTATCATTTATGGACTAGGGATGTCAGACTTAAGCTTCTAGTCACTGGTACATCTATATATGTTGCTTTTTTAGAATTTAGACCTTTTTATTGAAACTTGTTTTCACTGTTTGAGTCAAATTGCCCCTATTTTGAACTCAAATTATCTTCTCATTAGCATATGAAACTTAAATTTGTTAATTGCTTTTCTGAAGCATCAGTTTTTCATCATTGTGAAAATTGAAACTATTCCAGTGGCAATTGCAATGCTGTGACTACAGAGGTAATAGCTGTTGGTGCTTGATATTCTCTTGTCCTTATCAGTGACCATTTGGGTTGCATTATTTCCCTGGGGACTCATTTCATCCCCTTCCCTCTGCAGCTCAAGCCTTTTTTTTTTGTTTGTTTGTTTTGTTTGTTAGGAGTAGTATTGGTGAAAGCTAATTGTAGAATATTCTGTGTACATGGAAAGATTAGTATAAACATCTCTGACTTCTACTATGAAATGCTGTTTCCCCACAAATGAAGTGAAGACCTAAGGTTTTTGATCAGTAGTAGTTGCTGCTGGTAAACCTCAAAAAAGCTGTACAAGTGTCCCAAGTTTTTTTAACTTTTTCAACAGAACAGGTTTTGTCTTGTTTTCCCTTGCCAACCTCACTTACTGGTTGTTTATTCTATGACATGTAGATTGTAAATTGCATAATGTTGGAGACATTCATTTTAGAGCAGGATTTTTGTGAAGAATTTTCATGTTTCTTGGTTGAGAAAGTGAGATTTGCACTGAAATTACATATGGCTGGAGGGGATTGATACTTTATTTTAGAGAACATGCTCAGAGATACTGGTTTCTGGCATTTTGGAAAGTCCTGAACAGTATTAACTTTATTGGGCAGCATCATATGGTGGCAGCAGTTAGTATGGAGACTACGTGGAGAACTGCACTTGCCCTTCCTTGTTAGATATCTGTGCTATAGGCATATTTTAATCCCGTTTACTGACTATGATGACTATTGGATGCTTCTAAATTTACTGACTTTGCAGAGCCAGCATAGCTAAGTTGCAGTAGATTTTGTGGTAAACTCAACCTTAAAATAATTTGCTTGATTTTTATTTCTGCATCCCATTGAAAGCTGTGAAATGGAATATCTATCACTGAGGAGAATAATCAACAGAATTTTGTTTGAGAATTGTCTCGGAGTTTTGCCAGCCAGACTAAAAATTACTTATTTTTACTCATAAACTGAAGACAATTGAACTGAGAATGAAGACCAAGTGTTAATCCCTGCAATGACTCTCATTTTGACATAGATTTTTTTTTATTATATTATGTTTTGTCTTTATTTCAATGTTTATGATTTTTTTAAGGAGAACTCTACCATCTATTGCTTAGCTGTTCTGTGGGCTTTGAGGGAGGAAACCTGAGAATTTGTTTGTTTAAATTGGGATTCTCAACTGTTCTTTACTTGCCTCGGGCTGTATACTGGTTTTGTTAGAGTACTGCGATTTCTAAAAGGGATATAGTTAAGTTTAATTTATTTCGAACCTTCTTCAGTTTCCAATCACTTCAGGTATGATTTGCTTGTGGCTGTTGCTAGGGGAGGTCACACCACACTTCCATTGTTTCTTTTGTCTGGAACGTTTCACCATTGACTCTGCTAATTGCTTTCTAGATGTGAAAATAAACTAGAGGCTCTTTAAAAGGTTTCAGCTTGTCTCTGTCCTTACTTATGTGTTGCTTTTGACAAAACTGGAAGATTCATTGGCCTGTGATGCTATTCATGAGCCTGTAATAAAGGATTCTTTCAGCCTTGTCTTCTTTCAACAAGGCTCAGCATTTGTATATGCTCTTCAGTCTTTCTTTGATTCGTAAGTGATAGCAGAAGTCAAGTGTGCCTCTTAACAGTATGCAAATATTGAGATAAAATCTAGATCTTCCCATGATAATTACAATCCTGGCTGAGTTAAACATTCAGTGCAGGTTACAAATCAAGCCTGGTGTTACTGCTGCTTGCTGAGTGAGTGCCTGCTTTGAGCATTACTTAAATTCCTGTTGCATAATTTGTTTCCTACTTGATACTCTTAAATTGTAGAGGATTTACAATTTGGGGATTTCTTTTGGGGGATAAGCAGGCTGGAGAGGAAGATTCATGTCTGCTTAACCTATTCCTAGAGGGTACAGGTTTGTGTTGTTTAGGGAAACTTGTTTGGATTCCATGGTCTGCTATACAGATGAATCTGCTTTGTCATCCCTTCTCATTGAACAGTTAGAAAGTTCTTGGACGTGACTGTTTCCGTTGCTTAGAACAAAGATTTCTGGACAGTTTTAAGCACAGCTACCTTATTCCTTATTATTTTTGTGCCAGCATAGTTTCTATTCTCTCCCCACTGCTTATATTGATCCGTGGATAGAAACCAGACATATATCAATTGCCATCTCTTTGGATTTTATTTTCTTAGGGTCTTCCCAAGATATGTTCTTCATCCTAACAACTGCTAGGGTTCAAGTTCTGTAGCCTTGCTAGGAGAGTCGTAAAAGGAAAGATATGAATGCTGTGGAGTCATTGTTACAGTATTCATTTATGTGGATTACTGTCAACCTTATGCACTTTTTTGTTTAACTATTAACATGCTTCATAAATAGTTTTGTTATGGGACACTCTATATTGCCTTCTAGAATTGAAGGCTTTGTTTAGTTTGGTTCAGAGGAATATTTCTGATTTGTTAGTAATGAAGATAACTGCTGCTTCTATTTTATGTGAATGCTTCAGGCAAAGTAATTGGATTTCTCTTTGCTTCCATGTGGGGTTTATAATGCAAGTCCCATAAATAAAACATAAGGATTGTCTCTCAGGTGTATTATTGAGAAAGCATTCTGAAGCATAGTATTATGTAGAAGCTTGAAATCTGATTTCCTCTTTCCCTGCGGAGGTTAAAAAGCCCAGTAAACTCTTGGAGCAGGTACTTGGCTTCAGGTCAAGAAACTAGGCATGAAGTGCTGGCTGCAGTGCATCTAAGCCTAGTTAAATCTGACTTCTCTAAATGCTTGGACTCAAAAGTCAATCTAAACTCGGCTTGAAAAGACTACTCCTTGAAATTATTAATTCCTCTGAGTCTAGTATTTTTCATGTAGCAAGCATGCCTAAAGGCTCTGCTTTTGTATGACAATGATTAAAAAACCTGGAGTGACTTGACAGGAAAGTTAATGAATAATGAGACTGCTCAAGTAAGCTGTTGCTGATTGTAGGCAAACAAGGGAAGGACCAGTGCGTTATATCATGTACAAATACAGCACATTTCGTGTGTGTCTATTAATTATATCTTAATGCTATTAATGCATTAGTGTAGCCTGAGAACTTAATGTAAAAGATTTTGCAGCTGACAAATTAAGTCTTCATTCCAAGCTACTTGCAAAAAGCCTTTAAGTTTAGACTATGTGAAAATGGTTGTGTGAGGTTTCTAGTGTATATGCGCACCCAGGAAAATTCAAACCGTACTCTTTTTTCCTCCATTTCTTACCTAATGGGTGTAAGTTGAATTTCAAGAAATAAGAGCCGACTACAGATGCAAAATACGAGCAGAGGGTAGTAGGGCTAAGCAAAAATTGTTAACTCTATACAGTTAACATGCTGACTTGTTGCATACAGTTCTAACATAATAGAAATAAAACTTGTCTGAGTTAAATAAGCTTATGTTGGATTATGCAACAGATAAATATTAGCTTTTCATATTATAAGTACTGGGATTTGTAACTCCTCCTTTTATCTTCTTAATAGAGCTTACATAAGAGTAATATGAAACATGCGTGCAGCAACTAGTTTTCTGTTCCTACTTAATTGTAAAATATTTGCATTTCAGCTCAAATCAAAGACAAAATTAAAGAAAGGGAAAAGAAGCAAAAAGAGAAGAAGAAACACAAAATAATGAATGAAATCAAGAAAGAAAATGGAGAGATCAAATTACTGCAGAAAGGTAGGTTCAACCTATGTAGTGGTATTTCATTCTAGTGCTTTAAAATCTTTGTAATTGGATTGGATACTGAGTTTTAATACTGCGTTTTCCTTTAACTTGAATGGCGTTTTACCTGATTAGATGGTATGAGGGTTGCAAATTAAAAGTTAACTATGAATGTTAATTTTTTTGTCAGCTGCGCTAGGTACTGGTGGTTAAAAATATAACTCTTACAACAATGTTCCTTATACAGTAGTAGTAAAGACTAGTACTTCAGGGAATAATATTGGTGATACCTATATCTTTTCTGCAGTGGCTGAAAAAGGTTATTATATTGTGGAAAAGAAAACTGAATCCATGTCACATTTAATATCTAACATAAATGCACAAAACTGAATAAGGAGTTATAATTCAGGAACTTTGTCAAATACTAAAAATTGATGTGTAATAAGTAGGCTTAATATTGGCTTATTTCTTCAACTTCATTTGCTGTAATGAAATGTAATTAAGATCATGTTCTCACACTTGCTTTGTACATCTACTGAGTCTTAGAATTGTATGACAGTTGAGGTTGGAGGGGACCTAGTCCAATGCTGCTGCTCAAGTAGGGTCAACTAGAGCAGGCTGCCCAGGACTATCAGACTCTGTATATCTCCAAGGGTTGAGGCTCTGCAATCTCTCTGGACAACCAGTATGAATATTTGTGCACTCCTGCAGTAAAAAAATTGTTGCCTTTTGTTTAAAGGGAATTTCTTTTATTTCAATTTGTACCCAGTACTTCTGAGAATAGCCCTACATCTGGGGAAGAATAACCCCAAGCACAGGTACATGGTGGGGGCTGACCAGCTGAAAAGCAGCTTTGCTGAGAAGGACCTTGAGGCTCTGGCAGATAAGCAGCGACCATGAGCCAGCAGCGCTCTTCATGGCAAAAGGCCAGCAGTATCCTGGGCTGCACGAGGAAGAGTGTTGCCAGCAGGTCGAGGGAGGTCATCCTTCACCTCTACTGAACTCTGCATCTGGAGTGCTGTGTCCAGTTCTGGGCTCCCCAGTACCAGAAAGATGGACTTAGTGGAGTGAGTTCATCACATGGCCAAAGATGGTGAAAGGCCTGGCATATGTAGTAGGGCCTGTTGTGATAGGACAAAGGGGTAACGGTTTTAAACTAAAAGATGGTAGATTCAGACTAGATATAAGGAAGATTTTTTTATTATTATTTTTTTAATGATGAGAGTGGTGAGGCACTGGAACAGGTTGCCCAGAGAGGTGGTAGATACCTCATCCCTGGAAGCATTCAAGGTCTGGTTGGATGGGGCTCTGAGCAACCCAATCAAGTTGAAGATGTCCCAGCTTATTGCAGGGGGGTTGGACTAGGTGACCTCTAAAGGTCCCTTCCAACCAAATTATTGTATGCTCGTTCCTATGAGGAGAGGCTGAGACAGCTGGGACTGATCAGCCTGGAGAAGAGGAAGCTCAAGGGGTTTCTCATCAATGTGTATAAACACCCAGTGGAAGGGAACGAAGAAGATGGAGCCAGACTCAGCTGTGATCAGTGATAAAATGGGAGACAGTGGACACGAATTAAAACACAGGGAATTCTGTCTGAATGTAAGGAAAAAACCTTTACTTTTGACGGTTGTTGAATACTGGCACAGGTTGCCTACAGAAGGCGTAAAACCTGACTGGACACAGTCCTGGGCAACCTGCTCTAGGTGACTGTGCTTGAGCAGGGGGTTAGGACTTAAATGATAATCAAGAAGTCCTTTCCAACCTCAGTGTTTCTGAGTTTGGCTACCTCTTTACACCCTCTGATCGGGTACTTGTACACACTGATAAAATTATTTTTCCGCCTTCCCCCACCCCGCTTTCTTTTCTTCATGCTGAACAATTCACTGCTCTCAGGCTTTCCTTGTGTGTGTGATGCTCTGCTCCCTTAATCATTTTTGGGGCCCTTTGCTGGACTTGCTGCAGTATGCGCATGTCTGTCTTGGACTGGCAAGCCCAGAACTGGACACGATACTCCAGATGTGTCTCACCGGTGATGAGCAGAGGGGAAGAATCATCTCCCTCAACCTGCTGGCAGTGCTCTTGCTAATCCTCTCCAGGAAGCTGCTGGCCTGCTTTGCCACAAAGGCACACTGATGACTTTTATGGTCAACCCGTCATCCATCCACCAGGACCCCTAAGTCTTTCTCTGTTGGGCTGCTGTCCAGCCCGCTGGGCCCCAGCCTGTACTGGCGCACGGGGTTATTCCTCTTGGGCGCAGGGCTTTGCCCATCCCCGCGTTAACTTCATGAGTCCACCGAGTTGGCCCGTTTCTACAGCCTCTCAAGGTCCCTCTCACTGGCAGCGTAACCCTGTGGTGCGTCAACCGCTCCTTCCAGTTCTGTATCACCTACAAGCTTGCTGAGGGTGTGCTCTGTGCCATGATGCTGGCCACTAACGAAGATGTTGAACAGTACTGGCACAAGGTATTAATATCTGGGTTACTCCAGTAGCGACTGTTTTCCAGCTGGCCTTTGTGCTGCTGATCACAACCCTTTGAGCATAGCAGTTAAGCCAGTTCTTGATCCGTGTCATTCTCCACTTCTTCTCTAGGTCATGCTGAATCACTTTTTCTGTGAGGATGTTGCTTATTTAAGTAGACCAAATATTTTTTTTGTTATTTTCAGACTCTACTTGTGAAGTTAGGAACAGATTCCTGATATATTTTTCTATTATCTTGTCTGCTGTAGGATTTCACTTACAAACAAAAACCTGAAACCCCGAAAATGAAACATTATCTTCAAAATGTTCATACGAGGTCGGAGGCATGGAACCCTATAATTACTACATCACCTGTTATACTCTTTGCACAGCTCCAAGTAACTGTATTAGCAACTATGACAGCTTAAAACCTGTGTTGATCAGATCTCAAGGTATCAGCTTAGACCATAGGGAACATGTAAGCTGGTGATTTCCTGTGAAAAGAACAGATGTAGCTTGTCTTTGAGCATGAAAGGAAGTTGGTGGTTGAGATACTGGGCAACACTTAACTGCCTCAACAGTAAGGTTCTTCATTTTGTTTGTGTACCAGCCGTTTTTTACTCTGTATCCTATTTCTGTTGCCATTCAGCAGATGAGGTAGAAGCTGCAAAGACAGCAAGTCTTGTTATATGTATCTAACAAGTGTTACCTAATGGGGATATTTGGCCTCAAATGGTACTTTATTTTCAAGTTAATATAAAAAAGCATATGCACTGGGGCTGTTTTAGAACACCTCTCCTGTTCTGAGCTAGTTGAGTAGCAAGATAGGTTATTCTCACAGAGAACAGTGCTACAAGTTCATTAAGTGCTTTATCCCTATTTCATAGATCTGATACATTATCAGTCAAGTGTTGTGTTTTACGTTTTTTGTTAAGATGTTGGTGGGAAGTGTTTTGTAGTTTGTTTGGTTCGGCAAGTCAATTTTGGTTTTGCAGTATACTGCAAAATTGACTCCTATTTCAGGGAAAGAATGGAGTGTGTCAGGAGAACAATTATTTAGAGCAGGCAGATTCTCTCCACTGGGTTTGTATCCTGTTCAGAACAGCATCTCTGGATGTCTTCTGTGGACCTCCAGAATCTGACTGGATGTGCTTGCATGTGCTGTGAAGTTTGTGTAACGTTTCCTGATTCCTTCTGCTTATCTAGCTTTACATCCTGGGAGCTCAGGGCAAGAGAGCAAAGGCAAAAGCGCTTTAAGATGCAACTTCTTATGTGTATTGGTGGTCAGTGCCTCTGTGATCTCAAACATTAACTCTTCATCTAAGGCTGTTGTCTTCTTGTGGAACAAAAGTTAAGCTCCAAGCCCTTTTATTTGGAGCTCAGAATTTACTGTGTGAGCTTAGGAACAAAGATTTGGAACTAGTCTACTTTTCTTTTGAGTTTCTGGTTTTGTGGTTGTTTTTTTGTGTGTGTGTTTTAGAGACCAGCACTACAGTCTCTTAAGACAGCTTACTTCCTTCTAGGCATTTGGTCTGTATCTTGTTGTAAAATGTTACTCTGACCATCTGCTGAATGCTGTTCTTATGTTGAGAAAGTTGTTAGTGTTGTTTTGTCTCTTTTGTTTAAGCTGTCCAAGATAAAAGGTGGCTAGTTGTAGAAAAAGAGGACAGTACTGAGGGACTGGTGCCTTTTGAGGGAAAGTTGGTGCATTAACTTGATTTTGGTGCTTTGAACTGAATGTGGAAGAGTTTACTTATATTAGGAAGGATAGGGATGTAAGCTGTTCACCTGCCTAAACTTGGGTTGCCGTTCTGTTGAAAGCAATGATAAAACTTGCCCACGTTGGCGAAGGGCAACTCTTAAAAAGGGTATTTTTGTAGTTCCTGAGGCTGCTAAAGGAAACGTGTTTGGCTCTTTCAGAGAGCCTGATCGCTTTTCTTATGCATCTAGAATGAAATGTTTTTTGTCATCCTGTTGCACTTGCAGATGTATTCTCTGTAGAATGACTGTATAATTGCACCTTTTTCTTTCAACTGTTATGTGGAAGGAAGAGCTCGGTTCTTGGAAAAAAGCTTCTTGGCAGGTGCATATTGTTAAAAATTCAGGAAATATAAGTGATTTAAACTTGCTTTTCAAAAAATCTGCATAATGAAAAAGTTACTGTTTAGAAAGTGAAAGTTTCATACAAAAAACCTGACACCAATGTGACATGACTGAGTGTTAGTGCAGGTCCTGCAAAAAGAAAAAGGATTAATAGGCTTATTTGTAAACAGTGCCATTTGTGTTTTCCCTTTAAAAAAAGAAAAGTTCTATTTTCCTCATTATTTATGTAAGAGCATGGTGATTTCTAAAAATGTATTAGGAGAAATTCTTAGCGTGTAGTCTGCAAGATTAAATGCCTTGGGTTATGGAATGCCAAATGCAGGGAAGAAGGGAGAATGAACATCTTTGTCATGCTGGTATGAATGTCTGTAAGTACCAATTGCTTCCTAAAGCTTTTTTTTTTTTTTATTCTGGGAGAAATGACATTATTTTAATTGTACATTCTTATGAACCTT